AAATGCCAAGAGGCCTTTCTTGGAGCAACAAATGAAGGTGGAAGAACAACTGGCTAGAAAGAAGCAGAAAACAATTGAGCAAGTGGAGCTACCAACATCTTTACAGCGGTTTGCCCGCAGCAAAGCGACTGCATGAAATGATTGTGCTAGTTTAGTTATCTCGGTTTTATACTAATTCTATAAAGGCCCCTTTACATCAATCAAAATGACCAATCGAAAGATTCTAATGACTTGTGCACAAAATTTGACACCCTTACGTTTCGTTTACTCTCTATCAAAATGATTAGTCCTTAGATGAAGCTCTATCTCTTAACCATTTGATCAAATTAATAGGACCTCATTTAAAGCCCTCTCTATAGGTTGACTCCAGATGGTCGACTCGGCTCTAATGAGCATCAATCGATGTGAATATGAGTCCATCTTTAGCATGGCACCAATAAATTTTCATTTCCATGAACAAAATAGAAATATAGCACAAACTAGTTTGATTAAGATATGATTCATTTGTCACAAATATAGAATATCACAAACTCTTTTAAGATATGATTAATTTGTCATTAACTAATAACACACCAGGATCACGAACTAAATAAATTCCAGTCAAAATAACACTACGACTATAAGTTACATGTACACGATGATGTTTAGTTATGAAGACTGAAAAACTAGTTTGGTGGTCAGTAAGAACGCCAGTGAGGCCACCAGTTGGATTGAAAAGAAGACCGATAACAGAGCAAGACGAGCAAGAGCACCAGAAACATAGCCACGCCCCAAGGCGACGCTGAACCTTCAGGTTGATGAACCACCCTCTCCTTGGTCTTCGGACTCAGCACCGGAAAGCTCCCGTACTTGATCAAAAAGTGAGCCAAAAAGATCAATATAACGGGCAGAAACAAGAGAAATATATGAAAGCCGACCTTAGTTTTCTCCATCTGTGACCTGTAGCTGGTGTAAGATGAAAACAATAATAACACCAAGACGATGGCGACGAGTGCCAACAGAGGCGAAGGAGGTGCGGATAGGGAGGCTAGGCTCTCCTCCATCCACCCCTGCTTCCTTCCCCTTCTTTCACTAAATAACCAACCCATGTGTCTCTGTGTCTCTGTGTTTTCTTCTGCGAGTGATTTGATAATAATATGCGTGTGTGTATATATATAGAAGGGGCACCGATTGGTGAGGGTGAGGGAGAGACACTAAGACGATACGCAGGTATTATGGGAAATAGAGCTCAACTTTTTCTCAAGGTATTTTGAGGATATATGGTAGGTCTAAGGTCTGGTCTCATTTCATTTGATTGATTTATGTTAGCTTTGGCATAAATTCTTGGCTCTAGATTCTATCTCCCACCGAGTAACCGACCTTTTCTTTTCATTCTTTTTCGATACATATCAATTGCCCACCGAGTCTGGATTGATACCAAAATGTTAAACTTTTTTCATATCATTATTTTTGTATATAAAAAAGCACGCATACACAGGGAAAGAATATATGCCTTCTTCGTTGATTGCAAATCTTCATCATCAGGGAAGGTTTGGAAGGTTTGGATATCTACTTCTGCTGTGAGTTATACATATATA